AAAGAAATCATAAAGATCAGATCAGAAATAAATGAAAAAGAAATGAAAGAAACAATAGCAAAGATCAATAAAACTAAAACCTGGTTCTTTGAGAAGATAAACAAAATTGATAAACCATTAGCCAGACTCATCAAGAAGAAAAGGGAGAAGACTCAAATCAATAGAATTAGTAATGAAAAAGGACAAGTAACAATTGTCAACGCAGAAATACAAAGGATCATGAGAGATTACTACAGGCAACACTATGCCAGTAAAGTGGACAACCTGGAAGAAATGGACACATTCTTAAAAAAGCACAACCTTCCAAGACTGAACCAGGAAGAAATAGGAAATATAAACAGACCAATCACAGCACTGAAATTGAAACTGTGATTAAAAATCTTCCAACAAACTAAAGTGCAGGACCAGAAGGCCTCACAGGTGAATTCTATCAAACATTTAGAGAAGAGCTAACACCTGTCCTTCTCAAACTCTTCCAAAATATAGCAGAGGGAGGAACACTCCCAAACTCATTCTACGAGGCTACCATCACCCGATACCAAAACCAGACAAAGATGTCACAGAAAAAGAAAACTACAGGCCAATATCACTGATGAACATAGATGCAAAAATCCTCAACAAAATACCAGCAAACAGAACCCAACAGCACATTAAAAGGATCATACACCATGATCAAGTGGGGTTTATCCCAGGAATGCAAGGATTCCTCAATATACGCAAATCAATGAATGTAATACACCATATTAACAAATTGAAGGATAAAAATGATATGATCATCTGAATAGTTGTAAAAAAAGCTTTTGACAAAATTCAACACCGATTTATGATAAAAACCTGCCAGAAAGTAGGCACAGAGGTAACTTACTTCAACATAATAAAGGTCATATATGACAATCCCACAGCCAACATTGTTCTCAAAGGTGAAAAACTGAAACCATTTCCTCTAAGATCAGGAATAAGACAAGGTTGTTCACTCTCACCACTATTATTCAACATAGTTTTGGAAGTTTTAGCAACAGCAATCAGAGAAGAAAAAGAAATAAAAGGAATCCAAATTGGCAAAGAAGTAAAGCTGTCACTATTTGCAGATGACATGATACTATACATAGAGAATCCTGAAGATGCTACTAGAAAACTACGAGAGCTAATCAATGAATTTGGTAAAGAGGCAGGATACAAAATTAATGCACAGAAATTTCTTGCATTCCTATACACTAAGGATGAAAAATCTGAAAGAGAAATTAAGGAAACACTCCCACTTACCATTGCAACAAAAAGAATAAAATTCCTAGGAATAAACTTACCTAAGGAGACAAAAGACTTGTATGAAGAAAACTACAAGACACTGATGAAAGAAATTAAAGATGATACAAACAGATGGAGAGATATGCCATGTTCTTGGACTGGAAGAATCAATATTGTGAAAATGACTATACTGCCCCTAGCAATCTACAGATTCAATGCAATCCCTATCAAGCTACCAATGGCATTTTTCACAGAACTAGAAAAAATTTCACAATTTGTTTGGAAAAACAAAAGACCCCGAACAGCCAAAGCCATCTCGAGAAAGAAAAATGGAGCTGGAGGAATCAGGCTGCCAGAGTTCAGACTATACTACAGAGCTACAGTAATCAAGCGAGTATAGTACTGGCACAAAAACAGAAATACAGATCAATGGAACAGGATAGAAAGCCCAGAAATAAACCCACGCACATATGGTCAACTAATCTATGACAAAGGAGGCAAGGATATACAATGGAGAAAAGACAGCCTCTTCAATAAGTGGTGCTGGGAAAACTGGAAAGCTACATGTAAAAGAATGAAATTAGAACACTCCCTAACACCATACACAAAAATAAGCTCAAAATGGATTAAAGACCTAAATGCAAGGTCAGACACTATAAAATTCTTACAGGTAAACATAGCAGAACACTCTATGACATACAACACTGCAAGATCCTTTTGACCCACCTCTTAGAGAAATGCAAATAAAAACAAAAATAAACAAATGGGACCTAATGAAACTTCAAAGCTTTTGCATAGCAAAGGAAACCATAAACCAGATGAAAATACAACCGTCAGAATTGGAGAAAATGTTTGCAAGTGAAGCAACTACCAAAGGATTAATCTCCAAAATTGACAAGCAGCTCATGCAGCTCAATATCAAGAAAACAAACAACCCAATCCAAAAAGGGGCAGAAGACCTAAATAGACATTTCTCAAAAGAAGATATACAGATTGCCAACAAACACATGAAAGGGTGCTCAACATCACTAATCATTAGAGAAACGCAACTCAAAACTACAATGAGATATCAGCTCACACCATTCAGAATGGCCATCATCAAAAAATCTACAAGCAATAAATGCTGGAGAGGCTGTGGAGAAAAGAGAACCCTCTTGCACTGTTGGTGGGAATGTAGATTGATACAGCCGCTATGCAGAACAGTATGGAGGTTCCTGAGAAAACTAAAAATAGAACTACCATATGACCCAGCAGTCCCACTACTGGGCATGTACCCTGAGAAAACCATAATTCAAAAAGAGTCATGTACCACAATGGTCATTGCAGCTCTATTTACAATAGTCCAGACATCTGTCCATTGACAGATGAATAGATAAAGAAGATGTGGCATATATATACAATGGAATATTACTCAGCCATAAAAAGACACAAAATTGAGTTATTTGTAGTGAGGTGGATTGACCTAGTGTCTGTCATACAGAGTGAAGTAAGTCAGAAAGAGAAATACAATTACCATATGTTAACACATATATATGGAATGTAAAAAAAAATAAAAATGGTTATGAAGAACCTAGGGGCAGGACTGGAATAAAGACACAGACATAGAGAATGTACTTGAGGACATGGAGAGGGGGAAGTGTAAGCTGGGACGAAGTGAGAAAGAGGCATCGACATATATACACTACCAAATATAAAACTGATAGCTAGTGGGAAGCAGCCACATAGCACAGGGAGATCAGCTGAGTGCTTTGTGACCACCAAGGGGTGGGATACGGAGGGTGGGATGGAGATGACAGAGGGAGGAGATATGGAGATATATGTATATGTATGGCTGATTAACTTTGCTATAAAGCAGAAACTAACACACCATTGTAGAGCAATTATACTCCATTAAAGATGTTTAAAAAATAAAAATTTTAAAAAGCCCTGATGAACTTTCTGTTTACCCTGATGAATTAAATTATGACTTCATTATGCTTGTTACCCTTCAGATATAGAATTCTGTCAATTACCATTCTTTATTGAAGTTAATTCTTACTATATTGGGATTCTTACCAGAGAATAATTTCAGCTCATTCTTTATTTGCCAAACAATGCAAAACAATTTTTATTATATCAACTAGTTCTGGGCTTATGAGAATTACTATTTCTAGTATTCTTCTAACAATGGACTACAATGATCTCTTTCGAAAGCTATCAAATGAATAATATGAATTTAAGTCTGATTTTTCATGATTCCAAATAGGTCATCACTGCTCAAAGATCTTTGGATTAGTTTCTTTGTTTGCCCATTAAATCCTATGTTGCATATTTTCCCCATTTTCTTCTCATCTCCATTTCCAAGCTGACTGCTCTTTTTAGAGACAAAGGATTTTATACACACTATTATTATTTAACTGTATAATATAAGCTCTTTCACTGTCCTTTCTAAAATATCTCTTCCCTGTTACATAACATCTTGTCCTTTCCTAATTTTTACAACAATTAGTGCCCCCCTTTCCAATACTAACTTCTTAAGCTGCATTTGCAAATACATTTCTTCTAGTCCTCAGTTTCCATCCTCACTCCTTTATTGACTCCTTCTCCTCTGCCTTGCAGTACCAATAAGTCTTCCCTTGATCCTAATCTAATCAACTAGCAAGTTATCAATACCGTTTACATTACGATGCTCCAAATCCTTCAAAGATTCCCTAACATCTCTAAGTTGTTCTAACACCTTGTCAAGGCATTCAGGATCTTTACCATGCTGACTGTAAATGGTTTTTCCATACTACTCCCCAGAACAATATCTTTGCTTCTGTTAGACTGACTGACTCACACTTCTCAAATAAGGTTTAATCATTACCTTCCTTGCTTTTTGACAGTGCTGTGGATTTCACTTAAATGACCTTCTTCTTTCTTCATTTGTCTGATTTTCAATGTTCAGCTCAAATTTTATCTTCTCTGTGAAGCTTCTCTTATTGCCCGAGATTACACTGAATCTGCCTTTTTCTGATTCTGTATAGTTTTCACAAACCAACTCCTAGTTTAGCATTCAATTCAAAATTATTTTTTATTTACATTTGCATCCTTTCCTTTGAATAGCCAAAATAAACAACCAGCCAACAAACTAACGTTTGCTGAGCACTCACTTGTCAGTCACTCTGTTGGGCAAAGGGAATATAAGAATGAATAATGTTTATTTACTCAGAACTCTTAATACAATGCACCTTTCAGATAATAAAAAAAATTTTATCAATAAAAGAGTAAAACATCACCAACAGACCTGCTATTATAAATGACCACTATTCAAAAGATGTTGTTGAGTTTCTATATATATAGATAATACCATGCAGACAATCATGTAAGAACTGGAAGATTTGTGTGATCTCAATCCCAGGTGTTGATTATTTTGAAAGTAAAACCAACCACTAATTTTAAAATGACGTTTTGCTAAAAGACATTTCAGTGTTGCCACTACTTCCAGGACATCTGACAAGCAGGTAGAAATCTATGATTTACAATCACATGAACAACACACTATTAACAATTACTGATATCCAAGGTATTCCAATTCCAAAAATGCATCTTACAGAAGAAAAAAAAAAAACACATGAATGTTAAAACTGTACAAGCAAAGAAGGAAAACAAAACAACAGCTTGAGAACACATACACATTTCTATACGTGCTGGTCATTCCACTACTTAGACATCAACATTATTGTATGACCCATTATTTTCAAAGCGTATATTTTAAAACTTTATGTTCTACATACCTGTCCAGTCTCCTACTATTTTAAGGTGGACCCCAAATGTTGCTTTGGTTTCAGTAGGACACTAAAAAAATAAATAAATACTGGAGTCAATTCTGAATAATAATTATGTAGTACCAGAGTATGATTCAATTACTACTTTTATTCTCAGAGCAAATCTCCAAAATCAATAAGAAATAGAAAGGAATGGACTAAAAAAAATCTATACAGATCCTCATTAGTGGGAGAAAAAAAGCAGTGCCGACCAGTCAATAAGACATTATACGTTTCTCGAAAAGCCCATATTTATTATATAAAACAAAAAATACACATAGTCTAAAACGGCTAGTATATTACATCTAAGCATAAATCTTGCTTAAATATATTTTGAGTTAAAATATTTAAGAGGACACAGCTTTTAACCACGAAGGAAGAAATGGAGACTAATGATTTTGGTGTCTTTTTCTTTGCAGATATTCTGATACGATTCACATCCTAACAAATTCCGGGGAAATGAAAAAAATAATTATCAATGTGACCTGAATTTTCTGTGTCCAGTGAAGAAACTCCTACTGAAAGAGTTTCATTTCATTCCCTCCCATAATTCTCAGAAGAAATCTGGAGTAAAGTGGCAAGGGTACCTGAGGAGGGGAGTAAGCTGTGGTATTGGAGGTAAGAAAAAGTACCTGTGGTCCCATGTTTAGCAAATATAGGAAACAGCCACATAGTAAAAATGAGAGAATAATTTTTAGTTCACAATAAGAAAATGCAGTATCTCCCTTTATTTTACAGAATCCCAATCCCTTTCCACAATTCTAAAATTCAGAGATTTTCAAAAATGAGTTTTTTCATAACACATTTGGTGGCACTATCAGACCTGAATTGATGGGAAGGTAATGATGGGAGGTTAATGCTTCTGTATAAAAGTTCATACAGAACTATTTTCCTACAGAAATACCCATTTGTTTAAGAATGCTGCCTCATATCCTACTAGATATCTTAGGTAATATATTAATTATGCATACCTTTTACAACCCTCAAAATTCTGAATTCCGAAAATACATCTAGCATAAGTGTTATGGGTAAGGGATCACCTGCATGTGACTAGCCAGTGTTCATTGAATATCATGTACCAAGGGCAGGGCTAAGTGCTTCATTTCTGAAAGCTCACAATAACCCTGGTGACTTGTCTTTAAAAAGAGTGGATATATATATAACTGATTCACTTTGCTATACAGCAGAAACTAACATAACATTTTAAATCAACTATACTCCAATAAAAATTTTAAAAAAGGAAAAAAAAAATCAACTTGCCCAAGACAGAATTTGGGTCTGGGTTTGTCTGCCTACACAGTTCGTAACTATGGCAGGCCACTGTCTCCACTAAAGCAAAGATATGGAAAATGGCTAAGGATTGCATAAGAAGTCAAATGGAGTAGAGGGAAAAAAAGGATTTGTTGAAAATTAATGGAATCAATGCACAACAATATGAATTAAGGGGAAATATGGGCTGAAGTTAAAGCACAGATGAAAGAATATGCCAGTGGCTCTGAGGGCCTTGTGATAGAGAATGGGTTACATGAAGTAAGTTGAAGATCCTCAAGCTCACTATGTTGACTAATTAACGTAGGTCACATAGGGATGCTCTAAGGAAAAGAAATAAAGGAAGGTGAAGACACCATGGAGATATGTAAACAACTCATCAAAGAAGATAAGTAGCTTGGAGGTCAGTGAAAACACTAAATAAAAAGTTAGGTATTAATCATTTCTTCATGACAAATCATAAACAAACTAAAAAGCACATGTTCAGGGTTGAGATTTATTGTAACATGGAATTTCCAAACCACTATTTCACAATCAGTGTTTCTAATAGGATTATTACTACTAACTGTAGTTTAAAATATTGAAATAAATGAAAAGAATATAAAAATCATATTACTTAAATATTATTTATACTATTAAAATATTACTTCATTTATAATTCTCAATCTAACATTTAATTATTTAATTTACATTCTAGTTTTTAATAACTCCAAGAGCAATGTTTTGTCATTAGTAAATCTCCAAATAAGATGATGTGATCTGTAAAAACCCACCACCACTTTTACTTCGTACTATCAATACTTAACGCTGGCCAGAGCCTCTATGCTATAAAAGTTGTAGCTGCCAGAAGGCAAGAATCCCAACAGAGTTCCAAGCTACCAATCTGATTGTTCCCATGTCTCTTGATGTTTCCCTTATTGTGAACTAAATCTTAGGTTATGAAAAGAAGATCTAAGCCAAGAAGGTAGAATAGGGAGCAACAAAGTTAGTCTTTGTATGCCTGAGTGTGCATCTGGCTTGAGTTAATCTTATAATGTATTCTAAAGGAAAATGTACATTTTGCCAAATATTCATCTCTCTGTTCTATTCTTTCAGTGCAGACATTGTAAAAGATAATTACATATGATGTTTAACATTCCCTCAGGCCTTGTAGGAGCCTATAAACCTCCTTCTTCTAAGTGTTGGCCAAATGTATCAGGATAGCTTTTAAGGTTGATCTGGTTGTGAACAGGTAGAACACAATATTGTTCCTCTCAAACTCTTGGGAATGATGCCTTTATAAATTACTGATACTTCCTCAAACTAGCTAGGAATGAAGAAGACAGATTTTAACAGAGTCTTTGCCCAGTCATATCACCCCAGATTTGAAGGGGGCCTGTATAGAATAGCACACAGAATGACTTCACCATGTGTGGTTTGAAACAATGACTGAAAATCTTAGAATCACATTTTAGTACCTTTGCAAAAATAATGTTCAGATTCATTAATGTTGTCTAAAGCACAGTGAAGTGATTCCTTAATGTTGTTTCACTATCTTTTTAAAAGTGTTTAGAAAACTTCTCAAAGGGAAGAAATAATAAAGTATTCATATCTTTGGCTATCTTGTTTCTCTTAGAACATTAAAAATAAATATGCTAATGACAAATTTTTAGTTAAAATATGTTGTAGGACATATAGTAAAGTTCACATTATTAAAATTAAAACAGATATTAGGGGACTTCACTGGTGGCACAGTGGTTAAGAATCCACCTGCAAATACACGGGACACGGGTTCGTGACCTGGTCCGGGAAGATCCCACATGCCGCGGAGCAACTAAGCCTGTGCACCACAACTACTGAGCCTGTGCTCTAGAACCTGAGAGCCACAACTACTGAGCCCACATGCCACAACTGCTGAAGCCCATGCGCCTAGAGCTCGTGCTCCGCAACAAGAGAAGTCACCGCAACGAGAAGCCCATGCACCACAATGAAGACTAGCCTCCACTCTCCGCAACTAGAGAAAGCCCACGTGCAGCAATGAAGACTCAACGCAGCCATAAATAAATAAATAAATAATAAAATTTAAAAGAACAGATATTAGTGTTTTTCCTTTATACACAAATACATTGATGAGACTATATGATACATTGTTAAGAATATTAATTTCTGGGAAGTAAAATTGAAGACAGAGAAAATAACTCATTTCATGCACATCTATTTTTAAAATTTATTATTAAGCTTTCTAATGTTTATAAATTTACATACTTTAAAAGTTTAATTTAAAACATAAACATTAAAACATTCCTGAGTCTTACTTTAGTCTCACTTAAGTTTCCTAGATGAAGAGAATGGAGTTTGGCTGATATTGACCTTAATATAAGTAGCAGAATACTCATCACCTAGTTTAAGGAGAAGAAAATAGAATGACAGAATTTGCAAGAGACCTGGAGGAATGTGTACTTTGATATCCTGGAGAAAAACAACCTTTTCTTTCAAATTTTTTGTTCAAAAAGGCATTGGGTTTTTAATGTGCTCAAATGACTAATGATTTTATAACAGTCCCACAAAAATATAAACAGATATTACATAATCATCTTACATTTGAGAACAAAATGTAAAAATGATGTCACTGCACAAGAATTTATTCAACACGGAAAATGAATTTAAAAGCCACAATGTGTTTATTTTAAATCAAGAGGTTTGCAACAATAAATAAAAATAATTCTAAAATGGATGTTACTATGTTAAATATTAAATTTTCAATGTAACAAATTTCTTAAACCAGAGACAATGATCACAGACTATGATGTTCTTTAATCATTATTGTCAAGTCTTTATTTTTAACCCTCTTTTCCAAAGTTCTAGTTTCACATTTTCTATGCCTGCTAGATAATTTCTACTTGAAATTCGCTCTAAATGTAATATATCTAAAATTGCTGTTCTCTTCTTTCCCAAATTATCTTCTCCTTCTAATTCCCCTAGGTCTGGACATGGAACCTACATCCCAGCAGAACAGAGGTTCAAATCTCAGAGTAATACCAGGTATTTCTCTTCATGCCAGCATTCAATCAATTTTCAAGTCCTTTCAAATAATATTACCGAAGAAAACGTCTGATCACAGCAATCTCCTATTGATTAACCTTTCGTATCCTCTTATGGGAAAACATGCACATTCTTTCTTTCCTATGGTCTCTGACCAACCACATTTGTTCCAAATTCTTTCCAATTTTATATCCCATTTTTCCTCTTTGATTCACTCTAATCCAGCTAAGCCAACATGGATCAACTAATATATTTTCTTGTCTCTTTGTTTTCTCACTTACTAGTATACTCATTTAGAATGACTTCATTCCCATTTCTCACATTGGACACTGGTAATTCTTTAAGGCCCATCTCAAATGCTACCACTTTCATGAAGAAATCTTGATTTCCCATGCTACAAAAATCCCTCTCTTCTCTGAAATTCCAAATTACTTGACTTTTATGCCCTTTATTACAGTTTACCTCTTTAATTTTGTGTAATTTTTCCAGTATTAATATACTATAGGTGTCTTGAGATCAAGAACTATTTCTAAATCATTATCATATATTCTATAGCATCTTACCCTTATTGGGTATGCATTCAAATATCATTTAATAAAATATTGGAGAATTAACCTGAGAATGAATAAGGACTTCAACAATGGGCAATTCTTCTACAATTTATTCAAACATTCAACAAACATGTATTGAGTATTAAAAAGTTTCACAGACTATATACTAGGAGCTCATGTAACTTCACAA